CAGTTTCCACATTCCAAACACCAGTAATTATTAATGTATCTTAATTATATGTTTGGTCAATTTTAGACTGAAGAAGCTGATATAATACTTCAATTTCATCATCATTGGCTTTAGTGGTTGGTGCATAAATTTGAATTATAATGGTATTAAGTAGTCTTCTTTGTATATGTATAGATTTTATCCTACCACAAATAACAATGTACATCTTCAATTTGTCATTTCCAGCATAGTAAGCCTGGTGTGGCATTGTGTGTTAATGCACCAAACTGCAAAGCCCTTAGAACTGCAAAGTCGGCTGTTCAAGCTCACCAACTTCTCCTCGGAAACCCTATACAGGATCACTATGGGTTGAAATGACTCGATTACACTAACAATAGCAACAACAAAGCCATATGGCTATCTGATTTTAAATTACCAATAAGAGCCCATTTCATTTTACCAATGCTTAGAATTTTGATCTTTTTAAATGGAAAATGTAGAATTTTCCATTTTGTTTATGGCAACTTCCAATTTTGCTGGATACATATTTCATATTCTATGTTCCAATTATTAACAGATGTTTGCAGCTGTTTATTCTTATTTGGACTTGTGCTCCATCAGTAAATTAAGGTCCTGAAAGGTTTGCTCCATTAATGATATTATGGTCAACTCTACTTTGAGGCAGCAACTGTTACCCAGTTGTATTATGAGTGCCTTCAAATCTGAGTGGCTTATGTTTTGGCACTTTATCTGGCAATGTTCCACTGCTATGCCTAATGCTTGCATCTTCTAGTACAATATGTGATAAGTTTCCACAGCTATTTATAAAGTTTGCATTGACTAAATATCAGAAACAGTCCAACTCTCCTTCTTCCTAGGCTATTTTAGAAGACTATTCTCAAACCTTTTAACTATTGGTGACCCTTCTGATATTTAAAATACCTATGGCATAGTTTCCAGCATCACAGAAACATTTAAACTACCACAGTATGATAGATAGATAGATAGATAGATAGATAGATAGATAGATAGATAGATAGATAGATATGGTGGTGGCTGTGTGCTGTGGAATCAGTTACGACTCCCAGAGATCCTGCATAGGGTTTTCAAGGCTATAAATCTGTATGGGAGCAAAAAGCCTCATCTTTCTCCCAAGGAACAACTGGTAGTTTTAAGCAATTGATGCATGCTGTCAATATGGAAATCTGTAGACCAGACAGTCTGGACACTTAAGCAGGAGCTAACAGTGAGGTCCTAAGGCAGAATTTCTTCTTCAGAAAGCCTCAAGTTTTATTGTTGAAGCCTTCAGTAGACTGCATGAGACTGCAAGGAGGCAGTCTTTTGGATGAGCCTGGAGGCTCTGTCTTCCTCATTTATCCACCTGCTAGCGTCTTTGGGCTTAGGTTAAACAAAAGAACTCCCCACAATCTTCATACTGTGTATTTAAGTCATACTTTTAAATCAAATTATTCTGTAGTAAAATAAAAGGATTGAAGTCTAAATATGTGAAAAATTAACATTTAAAAATTTTTTTCTGTTTTAAATTCTCCAATGATATTGATAACAAATAAACAAATTTCATATACACTCAACAATTTTTTAAGAGTGTAAAAGAGAAATGGGGCCAAAAGTTTAATAATTGATGCTATAGGGCATTTTAATCAGGAATCAATAGGCTTAATACATGCAAAAGGAACAAAAGGGAAAAATACATTCTGAGAAGGCCTTTGATTAATTAACTGTACATGATACTGTTAGCTAAAGCAAACTCTGGTTTGAGCCACAAATGCAAGTAAATTTAAGAAGTTGTGTAGAGTCAAGGTCAGTGTACATGGAGTAACTCAAGAACAAACACTTGAGGTTTGATGGAATTTATTCACTGACTCTGAAATGTTAACTTAGCATAGACACTGAGAGGGCTACTTCTCTCAGTAGCTCTTGCTATAGGAGAGTATATCTTTGTTGTGCTAAGTGTATGCAGTATACATATGCTATTTTAAGTAAAGTTAGTAAATTGATACAAGGAAACAAAATAAATATCTATTTCAAAATGAGCCTAGCACTAATGATTCACATTGTCACCGATGGGGAAGTACTTTGATTTGAATTTTATTATTGCATAGTTTGAGATTTGATGCCCGAACCCTCAAATTGCTTCCTTTATTCCCTAGAGCACTGATCTAACAAAGATGTGGTCATAATATAAACAGAAATGTATTACTTCACTGGTATAAATGTATAAACAGGTATCAGACTATTATCATATTGGTAAAGCACAGGGTAAACTGATTGTTGTATGGGTATGGAAATTAAGGACCATAAAGACTAAATACAATATTTGGTTTTATCAATCTGATTGAAAGAACGAGGTTGGTGATCATTTTACTGAAATTCAAACTGAAACTTGTGATTGTTTTCATTTTATATCACTGTGTACTTTAAAGGAAAGTTTATAAATCCTGTATTTGTGAGAAATATAGGATAATATTAAGTGATAACAATTTCATCATAAATTGTTTTTTTTTTTTTTCTCTCCCCTCTTTCTCTTTCTTTCTTTTCCTGTCTGCTTCTTTCTGTCCCTCTTTTTTCTATATTTAGAGAATTATTGATAGAAAATTCAGTGACAGAAAAATCCCTGCCAACTGAAAACTTTGTCAATTTTATGGAATTCCTGAAAGGTATATAAAATTATTCTGACAAATCTGCTAGATTAAAACAAGAAAATATTTGAAAGTGCTTCTTTGTAATATTCTTTCTATTTTCAAAGAATAAAACAAAACCTTGAGGTAGACATTTTCCCCCATGCACACTTAATATATCTCTATGTTGTGTAGTTATCAGAGAAATTAACCTTAGTGTGAGTTATCCTATTTATGATGAAAACTATTCAGTACACCTTGAATATGTCTTGATAGAGTCGAAAGGGCTGACTCTCTCTTCTAAACTGGCATCTGACCAGCCATTTTGAATGTGAGTTTCTCTCCACAGTCCTGGTAATAATCCCATGTCCTGCATAAGGCTCCTGAAAGGGTTCAGTACATCTCTTCTTCGTCTCCTATTCCAGGACTTCAACTCATATTTTTTTTCTTATTCTAGTTACCACTTTGCTTCATCCAAACTTGAATAATTTGAATCTGCTCCAATTTCACTTTGGCAGCCATGACTGAACTGGTTTGGAGCTCTGTTTAGCTTATAGGGAAACATAACAAATGACAGACTTAAAATTCCAAAGCAATGGGAAAATAATGAACTAGTCAACAAATATTGTTGGTTATCCATATGGGATAAATAAGTTTGGAATTTTGTTTCAACCATAGGCAAAAATAAATGCCATGTGAATGATAAGAATAAATAAGCCATTATTTTGATTTACCTCAGGATAGGAAGATATTTTTAAACACGGTATAAAAATACTAGCCATAACAAAGATACAAATGAATTTAACTGTTTTGAAATGAAAACCATTCAGTGATTAAATCTTTTAAATGTGTAAAAAAAAAAAATTGGTCAAGGACAAAAATATTCATAATGCAAAAAATAAATCATTAGCAATATGGATTTGTTTAAAAAATAAACTTCTGGAAATTATGTGAATGAGACTATGCATAGAACAAAAAATTGGGAAAGTATATAAATTGGCAATTAAAAGGAGAATAAAACCATCCCCTCAAACCAATAAAAATTAGAAAATTTTCATCCCCACATAAATTAGAAATATATGTTAAAACCACAATGAAAATGTTACTTTTAGATTTATCATACAATATAATTTTTGAAGTCTTAAAATACCAAATGTTAATAAATACATGAAATGATAGCTGATGTTTTAGGTGTAAATTGATGAAAACAAACAAAACAAAGCAAAAAACACTGAAAAAGGAATTAAAAACTGACTAGTAAAGTTAAAATTTATATATACTACATCTCAGCAATTACTAGTTGTAAATTCCAGAGAAACTTTCTGTGTATATGCAAAGGGAAATGAATAGGAGTGTTCTTTGAAGTCTGGCATTTAATAGGGAACTATTGTAACTCCCTATATATCATCTAAAAACAGAAAAAAAAATGGATAGCTAAATGTTTGCATTTTTATGCAAAGGAATGCAATATAGTAAATGAAAGTAAATGAACAAATGCTACTTGTAACCATATGACTTACAATCACACGTGTTTTAGTGAGTTACAGTTGCAGAAAGACACATACTGTATATTTTTTATTTTAATTCACATACGGAAAATGTACAGTGTTATATATATATATATATTTATTGGACACAAAGGTTTGCTAAAATAAAAATAAAGAAATCTATGTGATTGATAGCATCACTTTAACAATACAGGTTTTTTCTGAGCAGTGTGGAAAGGGACAGACATGGGAGACTTTCAGAGAAAAATTTAACCCTATGATATTTTATCTTTTTAACTTGTGAATGGGTATTTATCTGCAAATATAGGTCCTGAAAGCTTTAGTCCACTAGAGTTATCATGGTCAACTCTACTTTGTGAGACAGCTCTTCCCCAGTTGCATTTTGAGTGCCTTCCAACCTGAGGAACCATCTTGCGGCACTGTATCATTAACTATTCTGGTGCTATTCATCATGCTTCAATGGACTTCTGGTGTGGTGCTGTAGAATCAGCATTGGAATACAAACCCCATGTTGAGAAGTTCCAACTCACCAAATGCTCCTTGGAAATCCCGTACAGGCTCACTCTGAGTCAGCAGAGACTCAACTTCTCTTAACAACAACAATGGTTATTTGGGTTTAGGGACCTGTTTCCTTCTTTTTACATTTTGTATGGCTTCATTGTTTAATAATTATAAATTACCATAATGGTATTTAGCATGCCCACATATATAATAAGAAGCTCTGGTAGTGTAGTGGCTGTGAGTCTGACTGCTAACTTCAATGTCAGCAGTTGAAAACTACCAGTGGTTCCTCAGGAGAAGAATGAGGCTTTTTGCTCCCATAAAGATTTACAGCCTAGATAAGATGGCGGCGCTGGGAGCGTAACACCTGCATTTCTAGGAGCTTCGTGGTGCAGATGGGTTAGGATTATGGAGTTGTAGAGGCCCACGCCGGACACTTTGTCTGGCAGGAACTTTGGCTTTGGTGGATGGCTCTCAGTAAATCAATGCATGCAAGAAACAGATACAAGGACAAACCTCCCGACTTTGCATATCTGGCATCCAAATACTCAGATTTTAAGCAGCATGTTCAGATAAACCTGAATGGAAGAGTGAGTCTAAATTTTAAAGACCCTGAAGCAGTCGGAGCTCTGACTTGTACTCTCCTAAGGGAAGATTTTGGACTTTCTATTGATATTCCTCTGGAGAGACTAATTCCCACCGTTCCTTTGAGACTCAACTATATTCATTGGGTTGAAGATCTCATTGGTCACCAGGACTCTGACAAAAATACTCTCCGAAGAGGAATTGATATAGGTACTGGGGCATCCTGCATCTATCCTTTATTAGGAGCAACCTTAAATGGCTGGTATTTCCTTGCAACGGAAGTGGATGATATGTGCTTCAACTATGCAAAGAAAAATGTGGAACAGAATAATTTATCTGATCTCATAAAAGTGGTTAAAGTACCCCAGAAGACCCTCCTGATGGATGCTCTTAAAGAAGAATCTGAGATAATCTATGATTTTTGCATGTGCAACCCTCCCTTCTTTGCCAACCAGTTGGAAGCCAAGGGCGTGAACTCTCGAAATCCTCGAAGACTTCCACCTAATTCTGTCAATACCGGAGGTATCACAGAGATCATGGCAGAAGGAGGTGAATTGGAGTTTGTTAAAAAGAATCATCCATGACAGTATACAACTTAAAAAATGATTAAGGAACAGAGAAACCTAGGACCATCACAAGGGAAGAGCATGAGAAGAGTGAGGGATCGTAACCAGAGAAGCAGAGAAGCAGCAACAACAGAGATGGAGGACAAGGCAGTGGCATAGAGAGACAGAACAACAGAGAACTATAGGTCCATGGACTGAGAAAGGCAGGAAGATGGCTTGCAAACTGTGCCCTTTGGGCATTTAAACCAATATATATTTTCAGTGTGGTATGTGTGCATAAAACAAAACAAAAAAAGGTAATAGAGGTAAATACTATTCATGGAGGGGATTATAATCATTGCAATAATTTGTTGAATGTAAAACTGATGATCTGCCTTGTAAACCTTCACTCACTCAATTCATAATAAAAGCATTATTTAGCTGTTAAAAAAAAAAAAGTTTCGGAAAATTGAAAACTGTGTTGGTGAGGAAACGTCCAGGAAAGTTATGCCAAGAATGTTTTTCCATCACAACAATGCATCTGCTCATTCTTCAGGGTTAGCACAGGGACCATCCCCCCCACCCCCACGAGAATGTCTACATTCCTCATCTTGCTCCTTTAGTCTTTTTATTCCCAAAACTCAAGGACATTTCAAAATAACACTGTTTGAGTCCTCAAGGATGCCAAAAACTGCTATGCTGACAATGATGTAAATCAAAGATTGCAGAATTCTTTGAGGAAGACCTAAATGGAGGTCGAGAAACAACTTTACATTTTGCTACTTTTGTTTAATAAAGGTTTCTATGATTTTGTAAAAAAGATTTACAACCTCAAAAACCTTATTCAAGGTCGCTATGAGTTGGAATAACTACACAGAACACCACCACCACCACCAAATAGATACTAAAATTCTGGAAGACACAAAGACAAGACTGAGTAGGGACAGCAGGAGATAAGATGGAAATAGAAAAATGAAGTTATGATGACTTTCTAGAAAACAATAATGAAAAATTACAAGTCATACTCTCTCACACTCTTTGGGTTAGAGGATGCCTAGTGATTCTAAGTTCTAGTAAAGCAAATACTGCAAGTGAGAGGTATAGGCAAAGATGTCCAATACACATTCAGTAATCACCCAGAAAAAAGTTTTGCCTTAGAAAGTCACATGAAACTGACTGTGGCCCAATGCTAGATTCAGTCCATCCTGTCGAAGCAAAGAACCATCCCAACCCATCCCCACTCATCTCATATGATCTTGTGTCTAAATGACTAGAAGAAGAAAGACTAAAATGGGGAAAAAAAAATTTTTTTGCATGACCTAATTTGAATCATAATCACATTTTTATTTAATATAATTTATTGAAATACTTTGAAAAAACAGTTGAGTCATAACATATGGTTGAATGTGATAGGCTAAATTTGTGGAAAGTTCTGTCCAAGTCCAGACACCTAGTAAGTAGAATAGTAGAGCGTTTTAAATTCTTGGGCTCTGTGGCCCATTCTTCAAGTCATCCTGGAGTATAACAGGCAATTTGCTTTTCTAAATATAAAACCTTCACTCATATTAAAACAGCTTAGAATCAGGACTTCTCTAACTCAGGGTTACTCAGACTTGGCACTGGGGCCAGTGTATTCATATCCTAAGGCTGCTGTAATGAAGCACCACGTTAAGTAGCTTAAATTAGAATTAAATAAAGTACCACAATCAGAAGTTTACTGTCTCACAGTTCTGGAACGTTGTAGTTCAAATTATAGTCATTCTCAGGGCCTTGTTTTCTCAAAGGCTCTATAAGGGATATTCCATCTTGTGTTTTCTGGCTTTGGTAGTCCCAGGCTTTCCTTGGTTTAGAGATGCACATTAACATGGCCATCCTTCCTCTGTTTTTTTGAAACTTTTATTTTATAAGAGCAACAATCAGATGGATTAAGACAGTCCTATTCTAGTGTGGGAGTCTGGTGTAACGCTGTGGATTAATGTGCTGTATGGCAAAGTCTGGTTTGAACCTCAAGGGTGGTCGTTCAAGATCACCAGCCACTCCTCGGAAACCCTATACAGAGTTGCTATGGGTCGGAACTGACTCGACAGCACTTAACAACAACAATTCTAATGTGACTTCTTGTTAACTGATAATATCTTCAAAGACTCTATTTCTAAATAAGTCACATTTACAAGTACTCAGAGGTTCATATTTCAACTGGTCTCTTGGGAAGGCATACTTCAATCTATAATTACCAAATAATTTTTTGTGTTGGGGTGCAAAACTGTGTGGGAGTCATGTCTAACTTCCCCTGGCTTTATAAGGGGAAAAGGGAATCAAACTTAAAATCAGTCCAAGCCCAATTATTTGAAGTGGAGCTCAGGCTTGCTTCCACCTTCCTTTATCCTAGATGATAACAACTATCTCTACCACAGCACACTTTACTTCACAGCTGTGCAATGGCTACACAGAACTCATAACAATACTCACAATTATGGGGTTTATTAGGAAAGTGAACAGAGTACAATTCAGGATCAAAACTAACTCAGGATGCAGAAGCTATTAAGTCTCTCCATGCTACCACCTCTGCTGTCGTCTCTGCCATTACCTCTGCCATTGCTTTTTGCTGTGTTGTTTCGTACTCCACTCATGCTCTTCCTTCTTGACGGTCCTGGGATCGTCCATCTCTGCTTCTGAGATGTCTCATTTTGTCTCAAGCGGTCTCATTCCAGCCTAGCTGGAATGCAATACTAACCAGTTGCTGCTGTAGAGTCCTGTATACTTTATTTGCATGATCCCACTCAATCACTTGGTTGGACTAAAAAGACTTAGTATAGAAAAGCCATACCAAGTAAATTTACAGCACCACATGAGGGTTGACCTCGTTTGGTTTAATTTAATTTGCTTTTTTTTTTTTTTGCTATCCTGATCTTGTTTTATCTCTTGACCCTGCAACTTGGTATATTGTGTGAACTCAAGCAAAATACCCATTTTTAAAATAGAAAGAGCAATCCTGTGTTTCATCTTTAGATGCATTAATTCTAATAATTCTAGGGACAAAAGAGATAATAAAAGATCTGTCCAGATCTTCACTGCCTATTTTTATATTGTGAACTCCTAAAAACCTGACAATTTAAGATACATTTTATATAGTTCTATGCAGCCTCATATGCACATTGCTGCTTTTTAACATCAGCTGATACCAATAACAATGGACTCAGTCAGCTTTTCATCTCTTTCCAATAACACCACCACTATATCTATGATACATTATTCTTTTTTAGAAATCATTTTTCATATCCAAACAAAACAATACGATAGATTCGGAGCAAAATAAGATTCCCTAGTCTCACATAAAACATGTGATTAGAGACTCAATTGTGCAACTCTTTGGGTCTAACTTTGAGTCAGGCCTAGGAATTACTATGGCATATGTTTGTGAAGTTCTCTGCTCAGAGTAATCATATGTTTCTTTTGCTATACCTTAACCTGATATAGGGAACAAATCCAGTGTAAAAAAATTACACTCAGCTATCTGGATTTCTCTAGCCAATTTTGAGAGTATCTGCTCTGCACTCTATAGTGAATATCTTACTTTCTACATACAAGACCAAAAGCAATTACTTCAGTCAGACAGTCACTATAGAAATATCTCTAGTCATGAATCAAATGGGTTTATGGTCAGTCACTGAAATATGTTTTCTCCCACATAGGTATGCATGGAATTGTATCGCTTCAAGAGTTTTACTAAAAGAATCTTGCTCAAATGAGAGAAAATTTCTGTTGAGGTGAAAAATGTTTGTGAACTGGTTTATTCACTACTTTCAGACATCTAAGCAAGTGATATGCCTTGCCCAGCAACTTCCTCTGAAAGTATGAATTGTCTTTCTCTACAGATGAAGCCCTACCAACCAAGGTTGGGGGCACAGGAAAGTCTCAATGAACTAATATCAAGGCAGGGGCTCTCATGACCTAGTGCTTCACAGGTTTCCCTTTAGTGACAAATGCATTCAGGCAACAGCTAAATGTAGATGCAGTGTGGCAAGAAGGCACAGTTCAGCACTCTTTGATGAATTTTACATACAAATCCATGCACGAGAACAGTGCTTGAAAGGGGAGAAAAAGAAATTCAACATTTTTATTCAGAGCTAGTGTTTCAGTATCTAAGATAATCTATTGAAAGAAGGGGAAAAAATCTTATTTTACTTGCTTGTTCTCTTTTTCCCCCATCAAATCAATTCAGGTTTGACCTTTACACATTTCTAGAAAAAATTCTAGTGAACTTCTGAGTGATTCAAAGGGACTCTTAGATAAGTGATAACATTCCTAAGTATATAACACTTTTTTTTATAAAAAGTTTAATTGAATCAATATTTTAGCTAAAGACAACTTAAACTGATGTGGCGTTGTAGGATAAGCACTGGACCAAAAGTTCATTTGAACCGCAAAGGTCAGTGGTTCAAACTCACCAGCTGCTCCTCAGAAACCCTATCTAGGATCACTATGATTTGGAACCAGCTCAAAGACACTTAACAACAGTATAGTGGTGGTTGGTAGTTATGTGCCACTGATTCCATAGAAATATAAATTTGTTTTGGTGACTCAGAACATAAATACCTTAGTGACAGGGTTGCCAAATAAAATAGTTTCCCAGTTAAATCTGAATTACAGATAAAGGACAATTGTCTTTTAAAGTATATACATGCCCAAAATAGCACAGAGGCACTGTAGAAAGCACAGGACTGCTGACCACAAGGTCAGAATTTTGAGCCCAGAAGCCTCTCTAAAGGAGAAAGATGAGGCTTTCTATTCCCTGAGATATTGCAAACTTAGAAACCCCAAAGTACTGCATGAGACATACTTATATTATTACTACTACTAGTAATAGTAATTTGGTATTTGAAATATAAATTTAACTGGGAATTCTGTGCTATATATATATATTCAAATTGTGTATCAAGTTTTATATACCAAAATGTAGCCAATTTATACTGCAAGTGTTACTGTATTTAAACATTTGAACTTACTCCCTAGTATTCCCTAGCTCTGTACTATGAAATATTTGTTGTTTGTTTGTTGTTGTTAGGTGCCGTCAAGTCAGTA